CTGTCCTGCATACAAAGGAAAATGCACGAACCCTTTCCCCAGAAGAGGATGCAAGTCCCCTTTCCTTGGGTGACCTTCACTCTTTCCATGATAGCCCATAACTTAAATACTGTGATGTAACAACACTTACATACTATGATATGAAGTTAGTACATCTTATGTTATATGATAAGGGGACACACACACACACACACACACATACACACACATTAAAATAAGGAAGAAATACTCATGACAACTCAGTGCCTGCAGTTCCCACTGTGAGGTCTGGCCTATCAACAAGAGCTGTCACAGAGCCCTTTAAAGATGCCAGGGCTCTCCTCACAAGTGTATTTCTCACAGTCATGGTGAAAGGTATGTTTTCTGGACCTTCCCAGTGTGGATGAGTATATTTTAAATGACAATTCCACTCTAACATTCCTGTCCCCCTAAGCCACTGAATGTCTTCCTCTCCGGTAAGCTAAGGCAAGTCTATCCTCTCCAGCTCATTCACTTTGGGTCACCTTTGGATCCATGTTTCAGTCAGCTGATGAAGCAAACTGCTGAGCCCTTCCTGACTTCCTAAGCTGAAACATCAGATGGAGAATCTCAGCTTTGTGAGCCCAATCCAGTGGGAATAATTGGATCCAACTTCCACCATTATTCCATATCCTGAATATCCATTCCCACACACGTTCCCTGGGCTTCTGTCTGTGTAAATTAGGAAACTCAAGTTGTTTTTTTGGATTATGTAAATATTTTTTTGGACCCACCTCTTTATAGGTCACACATTATACCTCATCTTCAGCATCCTACTGGGATTTAGGTCTAGTTATAGGTCTAGAAACAAAGAAGGTTTTGGTAAGGGCAGGTTATGGAGAAAATCAGCAATTGCCTCAGGAGAGGACATTATAGTTTCCTCAGGCAATGTGGAGTTATTCCCCTCAGGTGGGGTTGGGAAGGCTGATACCACTGGAGGTGGGAGGGCTACTTCCACTAAAGTTGGGGAGCCCTCTTCCACCAGAAAAGAAGACTCATCAGAATTTAGGGGCTCGATGTCCTCAGCTTCACTGGGGTCTTCCCAAACATCCACATTCCAACTTACAGGATCCCATTCTATCCCAATCAATTCCCTCACTTTAACAGTAGATATGCTGAGAGACTGGGCATCCAAATTATATTGAGAGAAAGAGTTTCTTTAAAAAAAAATAAAGTATCAGGTCACGTGATTTGTAGGCAGAGAAGTCCCCTGATTGCAGTTTGAAAACCAAAGAACTAGGAAAGCCAATGGTATAAATTCCAAACTGGGTCTAAAGACAGGAGATGACCAGTATCCAAGCTCAAGACCACCAGGCAAAGAGAGTGAATTCTCTCTTACTCAGCCTTTTGTCCTATAAAGGCCTTCAATAGATTGCATAAAATCCACCCACACTGGGGAGGGCAATCTGCTTTACTTAGCCTACCAATTCAAATGTGAATCTCATCCAGAAACACCCTCACAGATGCACCCAGAATGTTTAACCAAATACTTGGGTACCCCACGATTCAGTCAAGTTAACATAAAATTAACCATCACACCATAGCTGATGTTGCAGTTTGAGTCTGAAGTCTGTCAGACCAAAGACCAGGGAAGACATAACATTGCAGTTCAAATTGGAAAGTCATCAGGTTGAAGACCCTGGGCAGACCTGATGTTGTTGTTCAAGTCCAACAGTCATGTCCTGGAAGAATTCCTTTTTGCTCTGGGGAGGTCAATCTTTTGTTCTAGTCAGGCCAAAATCAAGGAGGAGGCTCAAGGGGAGACTCTATTTCCATGCTCATTCAGGTTGTTGGAATAATTTACTTTCATGTAGTTGTAGACCTGGGTTCTCTATTTCCCTCCTGGCTTTGGAGGCTATCCTTGGCTTCTACAGACTACCTTAATGTTCTGGGTTATGGCTGCCTTGAAGTTAGCAACAGTGGGTCAACTCCTTACACTCTGAATCTCCCTGACCTCCCATTACTGCCTTCTTCATCCACCACACCTTTCTGATTCCAACCAGAGAAATTTCTCTGCAATTAGAGCTCAGTGATTAGAGTTGGCCCATGTGTATAATCCTAGGTAATGTCCATATTTTAAGTTTTATAACCTTAATTACATCTGCAAGGTCCCTTAAGCAGCAGTACCTATGTGATTGTTTGAATAATCAGAATATAGGATACGAGAGAAATCTTTAGAATTTTGCCTACCACAGATGACCATTTGTTCCAGCACCACTTGTTGAAAAAAATTAGCCTATCATCATTGAATTTACTCTGGCCCTTTTGTCAAATATCAATTGATAATATATGTATGGGACCTTTATTTCCATTCCATTGATCTAATTTTCTATTTATGGAAATTCTACCCTGTCTTGATTACTGTGCCTTTATGAGTCTTGATTCCATGCAGTATAAGCTCTAAACTTTAATTTTTCTTTTATAAAGATATTGTGGTTATTCTAGGTCTTTATCATTTCCATAAATTTTAGAGTCAGCTTGTCAATTTCCAAACAAGGCTGCTTTCAATGGGATTACATTGAATCTATAGACCAAAGTAGGAAGAATTCACATCTTAAAAAGATGGAGTTTTGACCCATAAACATAGCATACTCCTCAATTTTTAAGTTCTTTAATTTCCCATAGCCGTGATTGGTGGTTTTAATGTACAATTCTTGAACATCTCATTATTTTGAAGTATTTCATATTTTTATGCTATTGTAAATGCTATTTTTTAATACTAATGTCTGATTGTAGCTAGTATATGGCTATATAATTGATTTTGCATATTAACCTTGTGTTCAAGCTTGCTTAACTCACTTATTGGCTCTAGTAGTATTTTATAAATTCTTTAGGATTTTCTAGGGATATGATCATATTATCTATGATTCAAGACAAGTGGACTTCTTCCTTTTCAATCTGAATGAATTTAGATTCTTTTTCTTGTGTTATTGCATTGGCTAGAGCCTCCAAAACAATGTTGAATAGTGAGATCAGACATCCTTTCCTTACAGCTGATCTTGGGGGAAAGCATAGAGTCTTTCAACAAGAAGAATTATGTTGGCTGTAGGCTTTTTGTAAATATGTTTTTCAGATTGAGGAAGTTCCCTTCAATTCCAAGATTAGTATTTCTATTTCTAGTGGGGAACAATGTTTTATCAGGAATGGATGTTGGATTTGTCATATAATTTTCTGTGTATTATTTACAGATGATCATCTGGTGATTTTTTTCGTATTTGTTAATATGATGAATTACATCATTATTCTCAGAAATAAGAAGGAATAAACTATACTGAGACATGGGACAACTCAAATGATCATCGAAGACATGCTGAGTGAAAGAACCCTATCTCAAAAGGTTACATATGTATGATTCCATTTATATGACATCTAAATGCTTTTAATGCCTTTGGTAGGACATTCTTCTTTGATATCACTAACAGTACAAAATGAAAGGATTTTGTGAAAGGATTTGTCCCTGATTCTGGGCATTGGGATTATGGGGTGGGGGATGGG